GGTGCGTCGATACAAATTATTTTCATTCACCTGTTCGTATGTTGATTCTGAATAGTCAGAATACGAATTACATTATGTTGCTAGGTAGGAAGAACATTGTGATTTACCCTACCTTACAACACGCAATGTTATTGTATGTTCATTACTTTCTTTCTGACCGTCTCTTGTTATTCATGGGAAACCGTTGTTGTCTTTTACGTTAGCAAAAAGGTGTTAAATGTAATAATAAATCGAAATTAGAACAAGCCATCGGTTAATTTCTGCGCAGAGTTGGCCATATGTACGTTTGAGCAAGCACCAATGGTAAAACTTAGTTCCCCACATTTTGAGTTTGCTATGAAAAATAAAGGTACTATGTCCCATTTGCAGGCCAAAAAGATAAAAAGTTTAAATTCCAACGGCATTTGACAGACAATACTAATTTAGAACTTCTCTCAAAACGAAAGGGCTTGAAAATTGATTTTAGTGGGAAAATACCGACCATTAGTTGTCGAATCGATTTAAATGATTGCAATCACCTAAGTGATAGTCTGATTTTCATTTCCTTTTACCGAATAGTCGTACGTTTTGTGCTGCACAAAGATTCAATCACTTTAATTTTGGCCATTACAAGTAGTGGGTTATTGATGTAGACAAACGATCGCGTATACGTTACAGCTCATTTTATGTAGGCTATGTTTTTACTAAAGATAAAAAGATGTCAGTCAGTCACTCAATTGCATAATTTTAATACTAGGACACTGTTAGTTTTTAAATTTCACAGATAGGACTTACCAAACATCTTCATAATTCCTGCAAATTTCTACAGAATTTGACGTTGGCTGCAAAAGGGTATCTTTAAGATAATTTATCCGTAACATAAAAGATAACATATTGTTTTCAGGAGTTGGGAAGATCGTATCTTCTCTTAATTGTTTCACATCAAATTCAATCTGAAGAAGCCTGGTGGGGACGAAAGCTTAAAGACTTTATCCAATGAAAATACAACTTGATATGAATGAAATCCAATGAATTTAGGCTGCAAATAATTATAATGAAATACAAAGTATTTCCCCTTTCATTATTGCGCAAAAGCAAATTAAAACCTAATTTTAAAACCTAACTCCAAATTACGGGTCAAAAGGGGTCAAATTTGCCGAAGTTACAGTGACGACATAACATATGGACCCGAAGGGTTCACCTATATATATAGCTGAGGCGATAAGCCGTACTTAATTAATGCAAAATCATTGTGAATATGCGTACTCTACATAAGATGATGTCATCAAGTCGATTTCAAGTTTTTAGGTCGACAACTTCAGATTTTCACAGGTTTAGATACTCCTCTGACGGACACTAACATGGCATATGATTGATATTATTGTAACCTATGGCTTATAAGCTTTCCGTTGATATATAATTCATCTATTTCATTGTTCACTTCGGATAGGCTCTTTAATATAGAGATAGCCTGAGTCATCCTTTACTGCCATTATAATTTCACACTATAAAATAATAGCTTTCTGGGCTAATTTGGTTCAACGACCCCTCACCCGTCAAAGTATTTTGCTCCTGCCTCACACGCCAAGCCAAAGAAGAATAAACAAAATCATGTATCCTAGGCAACTTATTGGATATCATGACGATGTGGTCGATACATTTAGCCACTGAAATATGTCACATGATAATCGATGGCACGAAACACCCAATTTGACATTGGTACTAAGAAGAATGGCCTCGTCGGGTTTTGTCCTCTCAAAAAATCAAATCAAAGGCAGTTGAGTCGGTTGACCCCCTTTTACCAAATGTATTATTATTGTCATGCTGAAATACAAGGCAACTTGAATTGTTGGTTATGTGAACTTCCCGGGAATGTGATTTTCTCTTTGAAATGCAGCTAATCGAAATAAACCGGTGCCCCCCCCCCCCCCCCATGCACCAGTGCCCTTCAATGGATAGATTCATACTACGCCACTTTTAAGGCATTTATATTATTCCATCGACTAATCAGCACCAATCTCATTCCCTCTGCCTGGATTTAGAGGTAAAGAGCGGACGATATTGATTTCTGAAAATTGTCACGATCAAAATGAAATTATGAAAACGGTTGTTTGGTTCAGAGAAGCCGTTCCGGCAGGCAATTTTCATTCATCTTCATTACTTGTATCACTCGCTCCCCCACATTTTCCACCCTGGTGGTTTTGATGAACCTGTTAAATGCCGACGTTGGTAGTGAATTGAAGTATCGATGATTAAGAAAAACTAGACTAGCGCTGTGGTGCAATCTACAAACGAAGGTGCGACCAGATTAGAAATTGAACGAAAGAAAATAAGAAGGAGAGAAAGAGAAGAGAAATATATATATATAGAGAGAGAGAGAGAGAGAGAAACGTCGAAAGTCAATGCTCCAATCAGGTAGGCTCTGCTTTGATTCCATTCCTCTCTGTGTGGCTCTCTTTCTATCTCTCTCTCTCTCTCTCTCTTTACCTCCTTACTGTTTTTCTCCGTTTCTTCGTCTCTGTCTGTCTCGCTCTCTCTCTCTCTTTCTCTTTCTCTTTCTCTCTCTCTCTCTCTCTCTCTCAGTCTCTACTTTTCTCCTTCTTTCTTCCTTCTTCCTTCATGATTATCATCCTCCTCCAACCCCTCCTCCGCTCTCCTCATTTTTTTTTTATAAAACACTGAATGAAAGAGAAAATGATGGGGAGCTAGGTTAGTCAGTAACTATAACAATGACAAGCTTAGCAATGCATAGTTTTTATCACCAGCTTATTTTTAGTGACGGAAAACGTAGGCCTTGATTCCTAATGTATACAGATTTGTATAGATTCTTAGCTATTTATCCCACAAACCCCGAGTCAGATGGTTGTATGTACGTCGTCAATGGTCTCTTATCTGTGAATATGATTATGTCTGCTACTTTTACATGAAAAATGCTTCCTCCGACATGGGTAGGGAGAGAGTTCCGATAGATGGACAGCAGTTGGAATAAGACTAATGTCTAGTGTACAGTCAAAAGGAGGAGGCACGGGAAGGAAAAGTATTATCAATATTATACAACTCATTCCCAGATCCTAATCAAATGATTGGTCATGCGCGGTCACGTGTGATTTATTTCCTGAGATCATTTAAGATGATGACGTGGATCCCAATCAAATGATGGTTGAGTGCGTACACGTGGCTAGGCATTTATTGTGCCTAACACGTAATTTTGATAATGACCAGTCATTATCAAATGCTAATGACCGGTCATTAGTAAAATCATGTTATAAAACATAATTTTATAAAATAAATAAAACATAATCTTATAAAACAAATAATACTCATCATTTTGTGTGATGTGTATTATTTGTTTACTATTTTACCCCTAATTTCGTTGAGGTGAAAATGAAATCGACAAGAAAGTTCCTATCTCTGAAAATATAATTTTTCTATTTTTTAAAAAGAGTGTAGGTCAAACTAAAAGAACAACATTTTTGAAAAAAAGTGATTCCTTTTGATTGCTTGTAGGATGATCGATTGGTTCATTTTTTTTTTTTATAGAAATCGTGAAAAAGCCGCGATCAGTAAATCATGCGACTGTCACATTCCCCTTAGACTGGAGCGATCAAACCTCTATCTATCTCTATGGTGATGATAAATATTCATGGTGAATTATTCAAAATGCAGTCGGACAAATCAATCTTGTTTAATGTTCTGGATCATTTGAGTTGACAGAATGAGCGCATATCGAAATCAATCCCTCATCAAGTGTTAAATCGAGGAGGCGCGATGGCTCAGTGGTAGAGCAGTGGTCTCGTAAACGGAAGGTCCCGAGTTCGAAACCAAGACAATGCGCTCGTGCCTTTTGGCACTTATTCTCATTACAAGTCCTCAGAGAGGACCTAAAGCCGTCGGTCCCCTGGTTGTTAACTTTACTAGCATATACATGCTTTCTTAGCAGTCAGGTAAAACAATCCTCGTCATTATTATCGTCATCATCTTGCAAAAAAATGAACAACTTCGTTTAAGAATTTCATACCGCATGATTTATTATGAAAATAAGGAAATTGACCCATACACACTGGTCAAACAGCAAGATTTTACTAACATCGTGATGTTAAGTTGTTATAAGCCCGGCACTGGCGTCTTTTGGCAAGACGCTAATCCACGTTTGCCACTCTTCACCCATGTGTAAATGGGTAAATGTTAATCGCGCGGGGGAGGGGGGGGGGCGGCTAATAATTACCCAGGGCCCTCAGGAAGAACCGCATTGAAGCTGATGAGGCTTCCGTGGATAAGCAAAATCCAATTATTTTAATTATCCTCATTATCATAATTAGTATTAGTAGTAGTATTGATGTTATTGTTGTTGTTTTTTGGAAGTTGCTTGTGCTTCTCGCAAGGATAACGATCGTGTCATCATTCAGGAAAAATATCTAGTGCCAGTAATATTGTTTTTAAAGTAGAGATGAACGTAGTCAGGTCACACATTTTAAAGGTTCGTTCAAATATTTATTTGTATGCTTCTTATACCAATTCACTGACGAAGACACAACTTATATAACATATAACCTCATGCAGACCTTGTGACAATATTTACATCATTGAAGTAGGCATTATTATGAATTTCTATCAGTATAAAATGACCTTCCATTTTAAAATGATTTTTTACAATCTTCTTAATGTAGAACTATGATATTCAATTTCAACTCATGTCTCGAATAGGTTCTTAGTTTCATCACGTAAGGCGAGATGTAGTCCATGCATACACCCCTCAGACTAACTTCAACTGTTACAGTGGTGTTTGTGATGCAGGTAGCAAAAAAGCATCATTTCGATTTCGTTAGTACCTACGGCTTCAGTAATCAAATGCATGCATTATCATGAAGACAATTGATGCGAGTTCTGCTAATTCAACGCATTGTTGCACTGTGCGATTCCATTCTCACAAGGCGCGTCAAGAACCGTGACGCAGTGATAGACGCAGTACTACAACATAAAATGACACGCTCTTTGTAACAAGCACAAAGGATCACTGGGGTCTATACGAGAATATCATGAGATGTTGCGTTCCGAAGATCTGCTAGTGAACATCGCAGAAAACCTTTCAGCAGATTCCGCGCTAAGACACGATAGGAACGTTTCGTCACCGAGTAGATGATCACATTACACAGAGGATTGAGAAGGAGTGGCCAACACACCAACGCCCTAATGATGATCGAAACGTCATCGGTAACCATGGCAACATATATTTGGCATATTGTGAAGGGTGCCCATGCCGCGACGTAGGTGCCCGTCACCAAAAGTGTCATGCGTATCGCTCTGTGGTTGACACTCTTCTTGGCCTTGTGGGGCCTGTCGTCCGGTAAGCCCGGCTCGTCGCTCCCGGCTGCTTTGGAGACTCGAGTTGTGAGTTCCTGGGCTTGAATACGTCTCACGTGTTTTCTGCTGATGCAGATGATCCGTGTGTACATGATGGCCAGGATGGGAATGAGAGACCAGATACAAACAGAAAAGATGACCAGGGAATACACGATGAATTTTGGCTCGTTGAAGGACATGATGCACGCGCCGAGTCTCGTATATTGGACGATTCCCGCGCCGAACGGGTTCACGAATGTTATGATGAGAAGGAACAATGCCTCGACGATGCACGAACTTGTGGCGATGATGATAGCTTTTCGCCGGTCCATGATGGCCATGTAGCGGAGCGGAGAGGCTATACTAAAGAAGCGATCCAGATTAAGGAGCAGCAAACTAGCGGAAGATAGACCGGCGACTAGCGTCATACCAAAACCAAAGATCTTGCAGACGACATCTCCAAAAGGCCAGTCGCCAACGATGGCCGATGGCAGAGCGGGAAGGAGAACGACACCGAGTATGAGGTCGGCGAAGGACAGGCAGTTGTAGAAGACTTTACTAGCGTCGTTGATATCAGGTAGGCGGGGGATGACGAAAAGGTTTAAAATGTTGGTAGCGATGATTAGGACGGCGAAGACGAAGATGATCAGGCCTTGAAGAATGAAAATGAGACCGGTAGTGTTGTCCTCCTCTTCTGGTCCAAGGGTGTCGTTCAGTGTCTCCATGACTGACTCAACCTGCAGAAGGGCAAATCACAACAAGAAGAAAAAGTTAATTAGCTGGATACGTTATATATACATTCATCGAAGGTTATTGGCTTCTGCATTTTCAACCAACAGCACTCAACTACTTCCGCATACTATTGAAATCATGCCCCTATGAACCCTTAAGGTATGGGAAGCCGTCGGAACCCCTCCCCCCCCCCCCCTCAAAAAAAACACGCCGCAGTTCTTTAAACAAATAAAATGAATGGCATCTGTGCGCTACAAAGGACGTATTCACTGAACTTTGTGTTATAACAGATATACTAGATTTGGTATACATTTATATAGAATTATTATTTTTCTTTTATCATAACTCATATATCATTAAGATATTGATTTTTTGTTGATCTCCTGAAAATTGTATGATGATTTTTATTTCTTTCTTTCAAGCTCATAGATTCGGGGTCAATCGAGATTATGACTTAAGAGTATAAAAGATGACGGACAAGGCTGCCGTGATGGTGAAGACAATGCTTTTTTTTTAATAGATGATACCCCCCCCCCCTGTCTCTCTTTCTCTCCCTCTCTCTCTCTCTCTCACTCTCTCTCTCTCTCTCTCTCTGTCTCTTTACTTCTCTCCTCTCTCTCTCTTCCGCTCTCACTCTATTTCACCTCTCACCTAACTCGTTATACCTCATATTCTTCTCTTCCCCCTTCTCACACTTTTCGGTTAGCTCATCTTTGTGATTCATCTTCTATTTTTCTCATATTGTCACCTTCCTCTCTGCCCTTTTCCTCTTTCCTCCTCAAATTAAGTTCATTTTTTTTCATTTTTCCAGCACCACTGATTACTTTCCCCTCTACTTCTATATTGATCTATAATTTTGTATATACATACCCCTTTTCCACGCTCTTCTCCATATCATACTCTATATATATATATATATATCTTTCATTGTAAAATACCTTTTCTTTTCTTTCGCTCCTTCCTTCCTCTCTCTCTCTCTCTCTCTCTCTTTCTCTCTCTCTCTCTCTCTCTCTCTCTCTCTCTCTATCTTTCCCATTCTCTCTCTCTCCCCTTTCTTATATTTATACGATTTTTTTCCCTTTATTTCATTTTTTCTCTCTCTATCTCTCTTTCGCCCCCATACATCTCTCTCTCTCTTTCACCCCTCTCTCTCTCTCTCTCCCTGCCTCTCTTCTTCTCTCTCTCTCTCTCTCTCTCTCTCTCTCTCGCTCACTTCATTCCTATATTCTTTTCTCTCTTCTCTCACCGTTACCATCGCTCTATCTCTCTAAAGAGCTACTTATTTCCATCCCTTTCCATTTTTACTTCATCTTTTTCGCTTTCCATTTTCTGTCATTTTCTGCCTGCATATTTCTTTTCCCTTTTTTGTTGTCGCTTTCTCCCTTCCATTCTCGTTCTCCCTTCCAAGTCTATTTCTTGCTCCCCGTCTTCCATGTATTTCTCATTTCTATCAAATCTATATGACTTGTATCGTTATCAAAATCAATTAAAACGGTTGGTTTTTCGCTTTGAATCGGCTTTGCTTGGAATCGAAATAATTTAGGTGTGTCAATAGGTCCCTCTCTTTTAAACGTTGCTGCGTGCGGTTCAACGGTATTCATTACGTCGGTCAAAAGCAAAAGCAATGCGGATGAAGAAAAAAATGCAGGGTTTGGAGAAGATAAGAATACATACTTGCTATTGAAAGCTGATATTTACATCGTAATGATCCGATTACATTCTGACGTTGATCCGATCCAAAACAAACAAAATACTTAAAAGTCGCTCTCCGAAAGCACATACTCTGGCACGAAAATAAACCCCCATCCATCAAGCATCTATTAGCGTTAAGTTTTAATCAAATACGGACTGCTTGGTGGATCGAATTCAATTATGACTTGTTTTATATTCACGTTACAACATGACTATGCTGTGCTCCTCCCAATGTTATCCATGAATTGATTGAATGATTCAATTGAAAGGGACAAATTTACACATTTGTGAATATTCCATGTGTTTAAACCCTATCATTTTACCACACTTATAAATAAGGAAGAAATGAAAAGTACTATCACTGTCTCAGATAGAATCAGTTTTCCTTTTCTCATTTAGATGCTTACTTCTTTCTTGTAGCATCGGATCATTGGGAATTTAAAGATTTTTTTTTTATTTTGCTCGGTCTCCACGCTCCCTTGCATAATAAGCATAATGATTAAATGCTCCACTATGCACCCCACCCCCTTTTTTGGGAGGGGGGCAGTGACCTGTCTATCCTGTGCGCCTCCTGTATCCTGGTCAGGCCGCTGATTTTTGGGACGAGATAGAAATAAACCTCTCAAAAGAGGTTAGGAAATTCAAGTTTGATTGAATATAATCTCTCTTAGCATGGTATAACCATCGCTCTTTTAATATCATTATTAAGTGTGTTTATTCCTCCTTAAAATGATACCCCATTTGTGTATGATATGTCGGTCATGGAAAATGCATTGCATCAAAATAAGGGGCAAAGTCAAACGTGGAAAGTTAAAATGCACTCCTCCTGCTCGGCTGTGCATTAATCTTTCTTTGAAGGTTGTTCGGCTGCCCACCGGTGCAATTTGCAACTTTTTACTGTTGGCACTGTCCCTTAGTCTGGTGTACAGCTCATTCCATTGCTGCGGAATCACAACAAATATGGTAACATTTTAAAGAGAGATACTGATTCTTTCTAATGATACCAGACAAAGCGAGAATTATCAAACGACAAGAGAGAAAAAATCGATCAAACTCGAGTTTTCAAACGGTTTAATGGGGGAGGGGATTTAGATAAAATGTCGATTTATTATCTACAATGTTCACCTAAAAGTCCAAACTGTTCACACGAGGAGACGTTCATGTAATTCTATGCAATCAATGGCAAAACTCGTAAGAGCCTTTCGAGAAAAATCGGAGTCCTGTTTTTTATATTTCTTAATATGTGTAAGTTGCAAAATGTGAACAAAAGCGGCTCACTGCATCTCAGAATGACTAAATGATTACAAAACAGGCAGTACAAAGGAACAAACTAATACCATCTCAAAATAAAAACAAAAGGTTAGGTCAGTGTATTATGCAAGAAACTCTGGTAGCAATTGAGTAAAAGGTTCATTGTTATATATTACATAAGAACCGATGTATACTGAAAGGGTATGGAGTCATCTAAAAATGAAGAAGAATAAGAATTACCCAATCTTGCTGAAAATCACAAACACTGTTCATAGAAAAAGTCAAATGGGACTTTACACACACACATTTTACACGAACATTTTGTTCAAACGTTATCAGCTATAACATTTCCTCATCCAAATATGTGGTGCAATGGTTTTCAGAGGACATTGTTACTACGGTAGGCCTATTCTTCCAAACTGATATAACATAATGAAGACAAAAATCATAAATAGTTTTCATTTTTTACCAGAACTAAACTATCTCTTTAATGATACTAATAATAGTTATAAAGTGCATTTTCCATATATATTTTCAAGTGCGCTTTGCAATTACATTAACGGAAGAGGTGGGTTTTGAGATATTTGTAAAGGTCTTTAACAGAGATTAAATCAAACGGAGACCTTTCCAGTCGTGATCGCAGTGATACACCTTATCGTGACAATTTATCCACCAGCTTAAGTATGATCACGATTGCTTTTAGCTGTCTCCTAAATCATTGAATTCATGTTCCGTTGCTTTTAATCAATACATGACGTCGGTGTATAGAAAACTGATTAAATAAAACCGATTATCTGCCTTGCGTATCTATGACGACGCTCTTATCATAATTGATTCCTATTACTCGACCGAATCGTTAAAGTCCATCATTGAAGCATTAATAATCCAGCTTCAGTAGGAATTTTTATGAGTAATATTTTTTCCTCCCCATTTACTACTTCAATGTATTTCCGTTATTGTTTTTGCTTTTCTGTTTGTCTGTTTGTTCTGATAGACCAATATGGCGTTAGATATATGGAGACGAATGACAATTCTATTTATTGCATTGTGTATCGGTATGATGTGTTACAAGGAACCTAATATGACACCTTAGACATGTTAGGTGATAATGGAAAAAATAAGAGGAGAAAAAAGAAGAAAAATAAATAAATTAGCGATTGACATTCAAGATCAATTGAATTAGCAACTCACAGTTTTGACACGATTCAGGTTACCCTCATTTCATTTTTAGATGATTGATGTCGTTCAAAAATTAACCTTCTTCAATACATTTTTTTTTTTACATGTTATGTTGAGGTATTATCTACCATCAATAATGAGTATTTAAATATTAAACATAGAAGAATGAAGATGTTTATGGATAAAGTTTTAAATAGTTGGGTAAACGTGAATGAAGAAGTACAAGAAAGCAATGACACAATAGTTGCCTGACCACCAGTTCGTAAGGTAAGTTCATTTTGATATCCCTTTTCTTCCCATTAAATCCCAAGCGTTTATACTGACCTGTTTCAATGTTGTTGGTTGTTTTGATTTTTTCGGCTCTAATAGTAACCAACTTCAGGTGTTTTTTATGACTTATTTCAAAGAAATTTTAAATCAGTGACAAATAAAGACCGAAGGAATTTAAAAATATACCGTCATTCCCATTCCCTTTCTCTACCATTACTTCCTTAGTTTTCAAATCCTTTCTTTGACGCCATCCGCGGTTTTCCTGTTTGCCTGCTAATCACCTGTTTGCCTGACCTAATCATAAATTGTGGTCAGGAGAAGGTTACCATTGATGGTAACTTTGCAATCAATGGTAATTTCCATGGAAACCTTGAATTGATTTGCTGTTGACTGATGTTACCATGGTAGTTAATATTGATGGAAAAGTTACCATCAACGTTTTACGCAACGGGGGTCACTAAAGTTGAGAAATTTGCTATTGGAAAAGTCCCACTAAAGACAGCCCTCTTTAAATGCCCTTATCCGTTGTAACATGACTAAAAAAGTACCTACCAAACTTTCAAGTCACGTGTCCCTACCAATACGCCAGTGGTCCCATTTACTCATTTCTGTGTGCAGTGAAAGTGACGTTTCAGCAAGACTAGCTGGGTTAATTTCTTCTTATTTCGGTGATTTTAAAACCTCACAGTACACACAACATTATAATAATACATAATCAACCTTTTGCCTTTTCAATCTGACAGTTTCTTTCACAATGTGATTGCGTGACTAGAGTTCAATTTTATATTTAAGAAAAGGGTTATCAACCTCACTGGCTAGAAATACTTGTTGTCATGAGGAGTGAAATAGATCATTCATAATGCAGTACGATATGACAGCTGAATTTCAAAAAGCTGTTGTGCTGTTTTTTTTTTAACTGGACGGATGTTTTGAAAGGGACCGCCCGAAATAATATTGATCGGTTTGAACTTTGATTTGATGAAGAGAATTGAACAGAAGTGACCCGTATTTGGTAAACCATGGATACAGTTTCTTTGTTCCTTTGTTTTTATGCTTTGTTAATCTTAAAAATACACTGTGCACCTGGTTAGCAAGGCGAAATAAATATTGTAAAGTGCTATATTGAACTGAATAGAATTGAATTTATTTTCTTCTTCAACATACAAATCAAATTGCATTTAAGCGAAACAACAATATATGAAAAATCTAAACATTATTATAATTTTTTATTTAAAACTGCGATTATTTCTTCATTTCAAGAAGGAATAATATAAATACATTCATAGGCGTCTTACAAATGAATAACTTCCGTAAAGTTCATAAATCGGAATCATTAATGTGAACAAAACGAAAGAGAAATTCGTTGGTAGTAATTCTCCGGTGAATGATCTTAAATCGGAATGTTAGAATTTGTGTTTCTTAAGTAATAGTAGTCTTGAATGCTTTAACAAAATGGTCTTGCCATTGAATAAAATTCTCTAGACTTAAATTCAAATCATCTTCCCATTTTCTTAAATGGTTTGTCTTTTCAAAACTCAAGGATATATGTGTCGCAAATACCAAATAACAAAATTGAGTAGGTTTCTTTTTGGACAAAAATGTACTAAGTTTGTTATCTTCAAAGCTAGGATTACAAATTCTTTGGGTAAAAACTTTCTTTCAAGTTGACCTGATTGCGTAAACAATAGCACTATAATTCATAAACTGAGTTAAATTCAGTTGAAAATCATGTTCAACGTCTGTAAATGTTTTGAAGCTACCATCTTCTTTCAAAATATCGTGTGTGTACTTCACTCCTGAATCATATCATTTTCTATAAAAAAAAAATAATTCTACCGTATACTTTGATGGCAGAGTTATTCC